CCCTAGCTCCTGGAGTTATTTGATAGTGAGGACCCCCGGGAGCGTGAGTACCTCAAGACCATCCTCCACCGGGTCTATGGCAAGTTCCTGGGGCTCCGGGCCTACATCCGCAAACAGTGCAGCCACATCTTCCTCCGGTGGGTGCCTGCCGCCTCCCCCGCTGAGACCTGGGGAGGGAGGGGAGAGCTGTAGGGGAGAAGACGGAGGCAGAGGCTCCCGTGAAGTCAGCAGGGAAAGGGTATTTATTTCCATTTTACAGATGAGAAAATAGAGGCTGAGAGAGATGAAGTAGTTTGCAGGGACTACTAGATCGGTCCTGGGAGCCTAGGATCCAGATCTTTTGATCTTTATTGTGCTGGACCTTAAAGACCCAAAGGAAGAGATTCTTTCTGCAAATGTGTATTGAGCAACAATGCCCACTGGGCATCAGGGACCCCACCCCCCACCCCCAAAGGGCCTGGACAAGGGTAGGAAGAGTTGAGATTGGCTTTGAAGCTGAGTGGCCTGTTTTGAGTTCCGGTTCACATGTTTGGGTGAATGTGGGCAAATTATTTAAGTTCTCTCATCTTTAAAATGGGAATGACAGCTACGCTAAACCCGGGACAGTCATCGAGATGAAACAAGGCAATGCCTCCAAAGCACACAGTATACAGCTCTTTGACCGACCGAGGCTGAAACACTTCTCTTACTGTTATTAGCTACAGCGTAGGTGAGACATGACCCCTGTCTTCCAGGAGCTCGTATATTTCAGTAATAATCCTGCTTATTAACTTTGGAGCAGGTGTCGTCAAACTGCTGAGCCTCGATTTTTTTTATCTGTATAATGGATCTAATAAGCCCTCTCTCTCAGGATAATCTTGAGAAGTATATAGCATAGACTGGATGCTCTTAGTGTCTGTCATTCTTTTGGTTGAAAGGCCTGAAGAGCGAAGGATGCAGGCTGGGTGGCTGCTGACTGGATGGGGTGAGGGGAGCAGAAAATGAGAATTAGGGCCCGGGGGAGAAAGAGAAGAGTTGGAATCCTTCGTAGAAGAGAGGATTGAGCACCAGTGGCTGGGCTGAGGAGGGTGATTCAGCTGCGGGCGTGGATCTCGGGGTGGGGGGGCTAGTTTGGGGTGTTGGGAAGGGAGCTCAGCCTCCGGGTGAGGGGAGAGTTGGATTCGTGTGCAGGGCGGGGCGGCAGGCAGGGTGGTGGAGGGGGGCTGGGCCTGCTCCGGTTGCTCTGAGCCCTTCTGCATCCTGTTCTTCCTCTTGCAGCTTCATCTATGAACTCGAGCACTTCAATGGTGTGGCTGAGCTGCTGGAGATCTTAGGAAGGTGATTCTCTCTGGGCCTCAGCTGGAGCATCAAGATGCTGGGAGGAAAAGACTGAGGCCCGGTCTTCTGAGCCCTCCTCTCTTCTGCCCCCACCTCAGCATCATCAATGGCTTTGCGCTGCCCCTGAAGACTGAACACAAGCAGTTCCTGGTCCGGGTCCTGATTCCCCTGCACTCTGTCAAGTCCCTGTCTGTCTTTCACGCCCAGGTAAGGCCCGGGCCTGGCCCTGTCACAGCAGAGAGACCCTGACGCAGGCAGGGCAGCCCTCCGGTCATCCGGGGCGGCCCAGCACTCTGCTCGAGCCACACTGAGTCACGAACTCATGGGATCCTCCGTTGCCTTCTTGGTCGTTGCTAATTCTGTTCCATCTACCTTCGAGAATTTCCGTGGCACTTTAAGGCTGATCTCAGACATCAGCTCTGTGAAGCGTTCTCAGCCCCTTCCCTCCTGACCTGCCCTAGGCAGGATTCAGCTCTTCTCTTTCCGGAGTCCCACGGATTGTGATATAGATTTCAATTGTGGAAACTTTTGTAAAAATTTCTAAGGCCTGGTCTGCTGCCCATTCCTCCTGGGGGAACATGACGGTGCCCGGCACACCCTAGGTGGGCAGTCAGTAAATGTCAGGTAATGAGAGGGTAGACACGGTCAGGGGGCGAGCATGTGGCACCCTGTCGTGGTGCCCTCCTGACCTCAGCCCTCCTTCTCTCCACCCCTCCCTGCACCCCCCTCAGCTGGCATACTGTGTGGTGCAGTTCCTGGAGAAGGATGCCACCTTGACAGAGCACGTGAGTACCTCTGGGGGGAAAGGCAGCCCCCGCCCCCCGCAGGTCTGACTCCTTTCTGCCTCAACTCCCACAGGTGATCCGGGGGCTGCTCAAGTACTGGCCCAAAACCTGTACCCAGAAGGAGGTATGGAGAAGGGCTTTGCTGTCCACCAGAGTTGGGGGGGGGGGGCGGGTCAGGAGGGCTCAGTTTCTGGAGGGCGGTCAAACGTGTGTGGGGGGAGATGGGAACTGCTGTGTCCTGTGTCCCCACCTCCAGGTGATGTTTCTGGGGGAGATGGAAGAGATTCTTGACGTCATTGAGCCTTCCCAGTTTGTGAAGATCCAGGAGCCCCTCTTCAAGCAGGTGGCCCGCTGTGTGTCTAGCCCCCATTTCCAGGTACGGGGTTTGAGCAGGTAAGAGTGGGAGCCAGGGTCTGGACAGGGAGGGCTGGCCAGTCGACCTGACACAGCTCCCTGCGCCCTCAGTTTCTCCTCTGGACCCTCCAGGCTCTGATAATGGGGAGATGCTGGACTTAAGGTCGGGAGACCTAGGGCCAGGCCTCAGATATACTCCCGATGGGCTAAGGGGTCGCGGGCGATCGCTTTGCCACTTGAATCTGATGAAGCTTCTGCGTCTGTGAAGTGGACCTCAGTGCTCTCCTCACAAGGTGGTGGTGAGGTCTGAAGACTGTAGTGCAAACGTATTTCACAAACTGCAGTGTGTTCCAGAATGGGTGGTTAGCCTGCTCCCGCTTCGTAGTGGCTTTTGATTTCATCAGCCCCACTGCGGGGCACAGCCAGGCGGTCCCACTTCTCAGGCCATAACTGCTGTTTCCCTGCATGTGTGTGCAGACGCTGTCCCATTCTTATGAGCCTTAATCTGGTGGAAGTCAGTTCTTCTTGTGGTGACTCTGGGACTTAAGTTCATTAAACACCTCATTCGATGGTTACAGCAGCCCTGGGCACGGGAAGATAGCTATTATATGAGCCCCATTTTACAGATGAGAAAACTGAGGCCGAGAGGCTAAATGCCTCACTCTAGGTCCTATGTCCAGTGTGGGGGGGTGCTAGGATTCAGTCCTGAGCGTTGGACTCCAGACCCAGTGCTCTTTTCTCTTCACCGCATTGCCTCCTTCAGCGGGTCTGATGAGCTGAGGATTGGGAGTGTGGAGGGCAGAGCTCCCGGGGTTTTGAGGTGGGGGTGGATACCGGGCCCTCGCACACACAGGGAAGCCATTACCAGGTGCCCACTCCGCCCCCTTGCTGCCCCCAGGTTGCAGAGCGGGCTCTGTATTTCTGGAACAACGAGTATATCCTGAGCCTCATTGAGGACAACTGTCACACTGTGCTGCCTGCTGTGTTTGGGACCCTCTACCAAGTCTCTAAGGAACACTGGAATCAGTGAGTGCCCAGGCCTCGACCTACCCACAGAAGCCGGGGCCGAGGTCGGCCAGTGCACATGTGGGGTGACTCCTAGCTGGAGCGGGCCGGGGATGGTAGAAGGGGCAGGGGGAGAGCAGCGCCTGCGGTGTTCAGAGCTGCGTGCTGTGTCTGGGACAGGCAGGGTCCTAGAGAGGGAGGTGGCGCCTAACGGAAGTTGTTTTCCTCTCCTCACCCCCCTCCCTGGACCCTGCGAAGAACCATCGTATCTCTGATCTACAATGTGCTCAAGACATTCATGGAGATGAATGGAAAGCTGTTTGATGAGCTCACAGCCTCCTACAAGCTAGAAAAGCAGCAGTGAGTGTCGGGCTGGGCATGGGGCTGGGGGGCGGGGGGCATGGGGGTGGGAGCGGGGAAAAGCAGGAAGGAACAAGCTCCTCGTGGTCAGAGGGGGCCTAAGAGGACGGCCCCACGCCCTATGTGATCAGATGTTTAGTGTCCCTGCGTTCCTGCCAAGTGCCGGGCCATCCACGCCCAGCTCCCCACTGCGTCCTCCGGTCGTTCTCCCAAGGTCCTCCAGGTGTGGAGCTCCGCCCCCTTCAGCTCCGGGGGCCAGCCTCCCAATGGCCTCTGCCCTAACTGGAAGGTTCCCGTACAGCCCCCGTACAGTGGGGTGGTGGTGAGGGAAGCTGGAGTGTACCGGCCCCGGTAGGGGAGCTGCCTCACCCTCTCTCCCCAGGGAGCAGCAGAAGGCCCGGGAGCGTCAGGAGCTATGGCAAGGCCTGGAGGAGCTACGGCTACGCCGGTTACAGGGGACCCAAGGGGCCAAAGAGGCCCCCCTCCAGCGGCTTGCGCCCCAGGTGGCCGCCAGTGGGGGTCAGAGCTAGAGATCCCCTAGAAGGGGAGGAGCTAACTTCGGAGCTATCAGTCCCTCCATCCCCTCTCCTGCCCAGGGGCCCAGAGAGACCCACGCCTACGGCCGGCCTTGCCAGAGGGGGCTTGGAGGGCTCCCTGCCGGGCCCGGCGTGGGCGGCTGTGGCTGTGGGGAGAGGAGGAGAGGAGCTGGTGGTCCCGGCACCAGGACTCTGTGGCAGGCGTCGGCCAGGGCAGGCCTCGGCCAGGGCAGTCCTGGCCAGGAAGCTGCCATTAGGGACTACGGCTGCCCCGCGCAGCTGGGCTCCACTCTGCAGGCAGGTCCCCACCCTGGCTCGTGCCCAGAGCAAGGACACTCAGCCCCTCGCCTGCCCCGCCTCGTGCCAGCACGAGGTCCTTCCTCACCCCACCATGGGATCCATGGTCTATTTATTCTCCCCAGCTCACCCCCCACACAGACGCTGTCCTGGGCCTGGGGCATCTTCTTTCCCTCCCCTCCCTCACCCTGGACTTCCTTGTCCCCTTTTTATTTATTGGGCAGGGGGAGGGGTGAGGGCACAGGCAGAAAAGATTCCCCGTGTCCTAGGGTTGGGGGGGGTGTCACAGTTACCACGGTCTGTCCCCCTTCCCCTGCCTGGGGGTAGACTTAATAAAGAGAGAAACTTGAGAATTGCTTGCTTTATTTAGGGGTAGGGACAAAGAGGGGAGTGAAATGATGACAGACTGGTCAGGAGGCCAGGCAGAGGCAGGGCAGAGGCAGAAACTCCTGTCTTCCCAGGAGGTGACAATCACAGAATCTTAAGAGGGTTGGAGCTGGTGTCCTCCGTGAGGCTCGGGATATGACGGGATATACTCCAGCTCAAACCCTCTGACCAAGGGGGAGGAGGAGGGGAGAGGAGGGGCTAGTAGCGCGAGAGGCGACACATGTCACACTGGCAGGCCCTGGCCGTGAAGATCTCCAGCTCCTCCCTCCGGTCGCCCCCACACTGCAGCTGCACCTTCACCTGTGGAAGAGGGGGGGTCCATGTTCCATTCGCCTTGCTGGGGCCCTCTTGATGCCCATCCCCCGGCCTCTCCCCACCCCCAGCGAGCCGCTGCTGGGCCAGGCCCTCTCACCTTCTTCAGGCCACTGATGGTGCAGCACTGAGAGACAGAGGTGACGTTATGTCGATAGCCACTGGCCACCAGCACAGAGTGCCGGGATGGGAAGGCGCTGGACTCGCAGTGGCCCACACAAGCCTGTGCCACACGGGAGCCCTGGCAGGTGCCTTGGCGGTCACTTCGCACTGTCACGTTGAAGGCTAGAAGGAGACAGGCGAGTGGCAGACAGAGCCCCCGCGGAGCCTCGCCCAGCTCCCGCCGCCGGAACCGCAGTGTGGGCCACTGAGGGTGCTGCGTGCCCCTCGGTCCAGTCCGCTAGCTCTTTGCTCCCACCCAGCTTTCCGCTCCCAGGGTTACTCACGGTGCAAGTGGCAGCCTGGGATGGCCACCTGCCGCCCCCAGCCTTCGGTGACTGCCAGGGCCAGCAGGCAGAGGAGCAGCACTTGGGGGGTTGCCATGGGTTTCTGAAACACGGCGGGTAGATAGCGGCCTCTAGATCAGCGTGCGGGTGGGAGAGGGGCTCTTTACCGTGAGCCTCCGGGTGAGCGAGCCAGGGTTAGGCTGCTCTTTCTGCCTGGGGCGAGGCAGGCCTGTGAGTGGGGCCCTCTCCCCTGTAGCTAGCTGGCTTTGGGGGCATGTGTCCACCCGTGTCTCTGGCTGGGCGAGTGTGAGCGGCTGTCAGCCCATTGCAGTGATTCTCCTCTGGAATCCCTTCTACCATCAGGGGCACAAACCTCTGCCCCCTCTGCAGCCCCCAGCCCCCGCCCCAGCCCCTCCTGCCTCAGGCCGCTTACCACGTCCAAGGCCCAGGGACTGAGTGGCTTGTGAGTGGGCTCCTCAGGTCTTCAGTTGGTCTCCAGACAGGGCTGGCTCTCCGGACTTTTATTCGCCAGCCTTCTGGAGCCACGCCCTCTCGGGGATCAGCTTTCACGCCTGCCTCCCTGCCCGAGGCCTCAGAGCAAATCCCACCTGGGAAATCCAGCTCTTCTCTGAGGTGTGGTCCTCAGAGAGTGGCTTCTGCTGCTTTCTGCTGTCTGAGGTCCAGGGCTGGGGGAAGGGAGATGCTGGAAAAGAGCCCACGAGCTGGTGGAGTGGGCAGCTGGTATGCATCTGGGGAGAGAAGGCTCAAGACTGGGCTGAGCTGCGGGCTGAGGGTTCTCTTTGCTGTGTGGCCGTGGACAGGACATTCCCCTGTTCAGGGATTTGCCACCCCAACCTTAAAGCTGCTAAACTCCTCCCAGGTTGTCCCTCAGCTAGTGCAGAGGAAAGGGATGGGAGGAGATTTTTATGGACAAGGGAAATGAATGACACCAGTAAGGGCCTCCTGAGATATGCTTGGTGGCAGAGTTAGAGGAATGGAGAGTCCCAAGTCCATCTTTAGAGCTTCACTTTCACTGTCAGGTGGATGACTTCTCATCCCTGGGGTCAGCCACAGAGTGGGGCTCCCCCTAGTACCTGGCATAACAGGGTCCTGACTCCTGGAACAGTCTGGAGCTGTCAACCCCAGCAAATCCCATTGTTTAGTCCAGCTCTGGCTCTGGTTTTATAGGTAAAGCAGCTAAATCTTCGAGAAGGAAAGCTACTAAAGGTCACACGGCTAGTTAATGTCAAGCCAAATCTGCTATCCATACATGGTGCTAACTTACACTTGGGGCAAGAGTGTGGCAAGTTGGAAAAGACCCCTAGTTAGCAGTGCTGCAGGACATCAGAAAGACGCCTATGGTGATTTGGTGGCCGTCAGCACCCCAGGGCCACCGTCTCACTGATTTGCTCAGAAAGGCAGAGACAGCCACGCAGACTGCCATGGCTTGAAGGTGCTTGATTGAGAGCGCACTGAATCCCGCCCCTTCATTGTTCAGATGAGAAAATCAGAACCAGAGAGGAAAGTGACTTTGCCAAGGCTTCGCTGTAAGCTGCTCGGAGTGAGAACGGCACTCAGATCTCCGGCTTCCGGAGCTGTGCCTTCCGCAGCTTTGTCAAGCAGGCCATGTTTGGGACTGTAGCGCAAAGGCTGTGAAACCAACTTGTCCTTGATCCTCCAGTTCCACTTCGGGCCCCCTCCCCTCAGGACCTGGGCCTGTCCACAGCGCCCACCTCTTCTCCCCAACAAGGGGGCTCCAAGGCACCTACTGGGCGTTCCAGCCCCAATGCTGCCATTCATCATGGGAGCCTTTCAGCAGCTGATGGACCATCAGCTCTGTTTAAAGACTAGAGTAACAGGGACTCATTACTTCACAAGGTGGCCCCTTCTAATGCTGGACATTTATAACAGTCCTTTGTTCTGAGCTAAACTGAGTTTCCCTAAACTCCAATCGATTTGATCTTCTGTGGCCACGCAACACAAGTCTAATCTGTGTGTCCCAGACAAGCCCCTGGGTAACATGGAGTCAGAGCTCGGGTGCCCTGGTCTCCGGGGGCCCTAACCTGGGCTGACCTGCAGTTGATCTGAGAAGCTAAACTGTCAAAAGCCAGAAGGATAAGTGAGTGGAAAGCATTTATCCACTGACGGTGCACTTTGGGGCCAAACAGGGTGAACCGGGGGTAGATGATTCCTTGAGGGTCAGCAGGGCTCCTGAGTCTTACAAATCCCACTCCCTAAGCCCTGGCCGGGAGGCTAAAGTTTGCGGTTAGGTGCAGACCCCACCCACCCAAAGCATCCGCCAACAAGAACCAGGCAGAGCCAGGGGAGGTTTCAGGCATTGCTTCCCTGTGTCTTCAGGGAAGAGTTTGCTCTCTCTCTGCTTCATGAAATTCAGTCAATAACTCTTCATAAATAATTTATTTTCATTACGATCCTAAGTGCTGGAGATGAAAGACCCAAACTGGCCCTCAGAGCAGTACAATTCTCAGACTAGAACATTTTAGGAAATTCTATTCTTTTCTTAGTGTTTTAAATTGAAAAAAAAAAAAGAAAGAAAGAAAGAAAGAAATCCACTGTGAAGAGGCAAAGGACAGGACAAACCCACAAGGGGACTCAGGGAGTTTGGGGCCCGCATCCCCCTTGACTGAAATGTCACACAACAGAGGACGGGATGGGAAGAGTCACTGCAAGAGGACACTTTCCACGGCTGCGTCTGGAAGGCTCACCGGCTGCTCTTTCCGAAGAAATAGCGAAACGGGAAGAGAGAGCTGCAGCAAGAACAGAGCGGGTTGAGATTCTAGACGTCCCTTCTCCCAGTCCCATCAGGGCTCCATTAGGATATTTTTGCTTCGGGGAACCACTGAATGGATTCAAGTCTGGAGCAGCATTTGAAAAGGTACCCGAATTCAATTATACTCAGGAGGGACAGGTGAAGGAGAACTGCAGTGGGATGGCTGAGCTCTAGATGGATAAAGGCATTTGCTGTCTTTTGCAAAAAGGACTCTGAAGACACAGTCTAGATTCAGAGAGAATGGAAAAACATTTTGGTAACCAAAGCATCTGAATGACCTAACGATAAGAACAGTCTCTGTTTAAGCAGCATTTATGGAACGAGGCCCAATGCTACGCACATTGGGGTGGGGTGAGCTGTGTAAAAATGAACAAGACACAGTTATTGAATTCAGTTAGGGCCCTGTGCTGTCTCATTGCCATCATGCATCCTGGGAAAAATAGAGATTCTGCAGGTAATCTGCTTTCTTTTTTAATTTCCCCCCAAAGACTCCATGAGGCAGACTTTGGAGCTAGATTGCTCTGGGTCTCAGTTGAATGGTAGGAGAGGAATCTGCCCTACCTTAGAAACCCAAAGAAGCCACTGGTTCCCAGATCTGCGGGTCCTTCAGGTGGAGGAGGATTGTTTTGCTGCGATGGGGGCATGACCTGCCCTGACAGACTGTCCACCAACCTAGAATCTGCAAGGAAAACACTCAGGCAGAGCAAAGGTGTTAGTCCAGGGACTTTCATATGACATCCAGTATGGGCCAAGGGCAGCCTCACACCAAGGTTTGTTTGAAGCCAGGCAAATTGTTTGTTCTGACCTTCCCAATTTCATCTCAACTCAGTAAGATGCTATTCTGACCTTGGACTATTTTTAGTTGAACCCCAGAGATTTTTACACGGCTCAAGTCCTAGCCACCCACTATGATGTTTTCTCATGGAATGATAACTTGTGGAAGAACTCATGTGCTTACATCCCTGCATCTGTGATAACTACAGTCCATACTGAATCCTCAGGCTGGACATCTTAACAAGCGTTTCCAGCCCTTGCTGCACATGCAAAGCATCTTCAATATTAACATTAATGCCCTGAAGGGAGGAGGAGAAAAGACAGCTTCCGAGAGATTATTTTCCAATGAGACAGAACAGTGAAACACATTTCTCCCAACTTTGCTGTAAAACTTATCACCCATATAGAAATGTTTTCAAATAGTGGGAGCATCAATTTCACCGTGAGGAGCACAGGAAGGACATGCATCGTTTCCTTTCACTTCTCTTGGGAGCTGAGGGAGCTTTTACTACTCGAGGGCGGGCCCCCAGACCAGAGGACGGCCAACAGAAGTCTCCATGGGAGCAGGGTGCCCAGCAAGTGTGCCCAGACTCGGAGCTCTGTGCTGCTCTGCCCATCAGACAACTAAAGAGGTCAGGATGATTATTAAGAGAGAATAAATTTCCCAGAACCTACCCTGTTCTTGAACGTTAGTGATATCAGATGCTGGGGTCTCCTGCCATTCCTGCTGGCTTTTTCTTTCCCTGTTCTGATAAAAAGAGGAGCAAGAAAAGTTTTAAACTTCACTCGCATACACCTTGGTGGTCTGAATGCTATTTGTTGGTTGGTGGTTAGGTGAGGAAGACTTCACAGAGGAAGTGCTATTTGAATGCAGACTTGACAGGTGAGTGGGATTTTATCATACAGATGGTCAGACAGAGCAGGGCATTTTAGATAGACAGAGACATGGTGTACAGAGGCACTACCTTTAACAAGTAAAAAGATGGGTATGGCTAGAGCTGGGACAGTGGAAACGTGACTATGGCCTACGTAGCCAGCACACTACAACTCAGTCTTCTCCCTAGGCTACTCCTTTACAGAACTTCTTTCAATACTTTGCGGGAGACATCCTATAACCTGGTTCCAAGCCCACATTTCCAGTCGACACCCCAATATTCAGAATCATGGTTCATATATTTCTTTGGGAATCTCTGCTCTGGCCACTCCCCTCACCTGGAAAGGGCCTGACTACCTCGGAGTGCTGGGAAGTTCCTTGAGCCATTGTGCTGGTGAAGAATTCTACAGCCAGGGACTGCAGACTATCAGGGTGGATCTGGGAGGCAGAGGTAGGATAACCCTCTAGGAAAGTTAGGACGTAGCCTCCAACCTAAGCATGAGCTGTATTTCTAAGATAAACTTTTCTGCAAACCCTCGATTTCCAAAACACAAAGGCTGCTACCTGAGTCATATTCCTATAAAAGCGAAGGGGAACTCTTACCTCTTCTAAGTCTCCAGGTACACTGGCTTGCAGGCCAACGCAGGGGTGGAGATGGAATTGAGAGGGCACAGCTCTGACTTCTAGCTTGAGAAAATGATTCTTACAGATTTAATGAAACTACAGTTTGGAGCTTAAATTCTGCTGCACTGGCCCTAACGAAAGCATCTACTGAGGGTGGCATTGCGCAATAGAAGGGCAAAGGCCCTGGGACAGAGGTAAAGATCTCTTAACCAGGGCAGATTCCCCTCACAGTATAGGTTAGCATTGGTGCTCTCCTAAAATCTTTAAAAAAATTTTTTTTTTAATGTTTTATTTATTTTTGAGAGAGAGATAGAGACAGCGTGAGCAGGGGAGGGTCAGAGAGAGAGGGAGACACAGATTCTGAAGACAGCCTCCAGGCTCTGAGCTAGCTGTCAGCACAGAGCCCGACGCAGGGCTCAAACCCACAAACTGTGAGATCATGACCTGAGCCGAAGTCGGTCGTTTAACCGACTGAGCCATCCAGGTGCCCCGGTGCTCTCCTAAAATCTTGACAGATGTCTCCTCAGGTAAATGTCATAAGAAAAGAAAAAACACAGCCTGAAATAAGACCTAGGATACCATCTGGGACATCCAACAAGACATAATACACTGACAACCCAACACAAGACTGTCCTCTATATGTTCAGGGCCAGATCTACTTAGAAGTACAGTTCAAGGGACACCTGGGTGGCTCAATCAGTTGAGCATCCAACTTCAGCTCAGCTCATGATCTTGTGGTTCTTGAGTTTGAGCCCCGCATCATGCTCTCTGCTGTCCGTGCAGAGCCCGCTTCAGATCCCCTATCCTCCCCCGCCCTCTGCACCTCTCTGGCTCACGTTCTTTCTCTCAAAATTAAGTGTTAAAAAAAAAAAAAAAAAAAGTAAAGGGGCGCCCAGGTGGCTTAGTCGGTTAAGCGTCCGACTTTCGCTCAGGTCATGATCTCACGGTTCGTGGGTTCGAGCCCCGCGTCGGGCTCTGTGCTGACTGCCAGCTCAGAGCCTGGAGCCTATTTCAGAGTCTGTGTCTCCCTCTCTCTCTGACCCTCCCCTGCTCACGCTGTCTCTCTCTCTCTCTCCTAGAAATAAATAAAACATTAAAAAAAAAAATTAAAAAAAAAAAGTACAATTCAAGCAAAGGTAGCAAAAAAAAAAAAAAAAGCTACACACACAGCAGTCTGCTTTACTTCTGGACCATTCATCTGCTCTCCCCACTTTTTATCCTTACAAAGTCTGGATCTCTAGTCTGGCACCTCTAATAAAGGGAATGGGTCTGCCTATCCTTCCCATTCTCCCCAAAACACCTCTTATGAAACAGAGACGTTATTCAGATATGTGCCATGTTCTTCTAGGCTTTCCCTGTATCAGCTCCCAGTGATGTCATGTTCAGACATGACAGTCCACACTGACCCTACATCTTGAGTTCCCCAAAGGGGAGAGAAAATATTAAGCATTGGACCATAGGAGCAAATTCGATTTTTCCAGCTCAAGTGTCTTACACTGAGAGCCACTGTGATCACTCTAATTCAAGAGAAATCCTCTTTCTGGGAACAGGGTCTACAATGGAGACCGTCACTGGGCTTTGAGTCAAAATCAATAAACATGTTCCTTTTGGGGTTTGTTTTGGTGGTTTTTTTTTTTTTTGTGCTCAGTTTTTTTCTAAACCCAGTATCAGGTTGAAAAGGTAATTATGTTGAGTAAGAAACTGTGGGTACTGTTCTTGAGGGAGATGATGTGTCAAACTAAGAATAGGAAGGTATGAAGGATAGAGAGTGAGAGAAATGTTCTTTTAATAGTAATTATCTTGGTTGTATAAACCGTCTTTGTTCTTCAGAGCTTCATGTACTCCTCCTGTACTTTCTCAATTCTTTTTCTTCCCTCTTGAAAGGATGGGAGTATAGAAGCGGGCAATCATCTGCCTACAATAACTCAGTGGGCCAGCTGGCCATGGCATAGCGGGTCCTATGCCCTGCCCCTACCCACAGAGGCAGAGGATGGAGTCCCTAAGGGTTTCCTTTTTCCCCAACTAAACAATAAATTCCTGCAAAGAAAAACCAGGTTTTACATGTTTGGGTGCAGCCCGGCACCTAACACAATACCTCGCAAGCAGGAGGCAGAATCATCATATAGAAATGAAAATCACTTTACTTTCCTACTTAACAAATGTTTTAGGGGAAACCCTGTGATCTTGAAGTTGGCCTTAAGTCCTTCAAGATCCAGCCTGCGCTGACCTCTCCAATAACACTTCTTGGCGCTGGACTCTAAGCTCCGGGTGCACTGGCTTGCAGTCACCAACATCACTGTACTCTTCCCTCTTCACTTTAGATCTTTGAGCCACCCTGGGAACCCTCCCTCACATCCACCTGGTTTGGGTGAGGTTCTCCTTTGTAGTCCCTTTGCTTCTGCCCACGGCACATCTATCAACAATTGTCCGCCTAGCTTTTTACACGGTTGGCATGTTTAGGGGAGAGCAAGAGATCGCTAGCACTTGGCACACAGCAGACCCACAGTCAGTGTGTCGAATAAATGCTCATGTAGATATTTAGTGCAGAACTGATTGTGCTACGGGTTCTGGGAAGGTGAGGGAGGTGAACTGGGAGTATTTAAGTACTTAAGGTCAGAGCTACTTTGGCGAGATAGGTGAAAAGTAAGGGAAGGGCACGAATAACAGCTATTTCAAGAGGGGGAGAAAAGAAGAAGGGCGCTCTTTTACACACTACTAAAAAAGAAGCCCTGAGATGGAAGAGTAGCAGATATATGAATATCTAAATGGGGAATAAACCTCACAAAGAAAATCAAAGGCTACTGGGGCCAGCCCATCACCGCTCTAAGTGAAATTTTCTCTTACCAGTATCCCATGCTGATGTATGCCTGGCTTGTCTATAAAAACTAGATGTTCCCAGACTCAGACCCCAGTCCATATGACAGCAAAAAGTTTTCTAAAATGAAATAGCTCTATACCGGATCCCACCACAGTTCAACAGACCTATTTTCTTACACCGCAGAGTACAAGCAGCAGCTTTTTAAGCTGAGAAGAAAAGGGCTTTTAACAAAAAGATCCATCGATGTGTGTATTATGTGGCTACTTCTGGGGCAGGTTGTGGCAAGGGTGGAATGGCTGCATGTTGTTCTGCAGATGGTGAAACCTGAGAAGGACTTCAGTCAATTCAGTCTGTACTTAGAAACAAAATGTGCCGGTAAGAGGAATCATGACTTGTTACAGAGCAGGAACAGCCAACAGCCGTGAAGCCTCCATTTTGGTGCTTACCCTCCTGGTTTCCATAAGGGGCCTCTTTTTGCTGGGGCCTTGGCTGGAAATCCCCATCTTGGCCCTGAGGTGGGGAAAAAAGCCCAGGAAATGTTACTGGCAGCAGCAACATCACATTTAAGCAAATGTGGCCTAAATGAATATTTCAGCAGGTTGGCTATTTTTATACCACTCCTGGCCTACAGAATAAATTGTGTGGCCAAATTCTCTTTGGGTGCTGCTTTAATTCACAGCGGAATCCCAATTTGAAACATTTAAGGATCTAGGGGTTGGGAAAGGGAAAATGTGATTGACAGCAGGTAATCAGAGTTTGAAATACTTGACTGCATCACAAGCCAGAGAAAGGATTGAAGATGTGAGGCCTCATCTCCATGGAACTCAGTCAAATAGAACTGAGCAGGGGCGCCTGAGTGGCTCAGTTGGTTAAGCTTCCGACTTCAGCTCAGGTCATGATCTCACTGTCCGTGGGTTCGAGCCCCACGTCGGGCTCTGTGCTGACATCTGGGGCTCTGTGCTGACAGCTACCTCAGAGCCTGGAGCCTACTTCAGATTCTGTATCTCCCTCTCTCTCTGCCCCTCCCCTGCTCATGCTGTCTCTCTCTCTCTCTCAGAAATAAATAAAAAACATTTAAAAAATAAAAAAATTAAAATTAAAATTAAAAAAAAAAAGAACTGAGCAAAGCTTCACACCTCCAAGTACCTTCACATTCCACCTGTCTGGGAAAGAAGTTTCCTAACCCCTCCCTGACATGTGCATTTGGACGGAAGAGGCCTCAGTTCCCTCACAGTCTACCCTCACTGCTCCTGTTTGCCCACACGGTCCCAGGAAAGGAATAGCTGCTCTCTGTGAACATGGGCCAAAAGTACTTCAGGCTGGGGAGCAAACCACATCTTGGATTATTCCAGCTCCTCTCTCTGGGTGCTAGTAAGAATGACTGAATTATCTTATCTTACTGATTCACTCTGTCCCTGACAGAGACTGGAAAGAATAAAGTAAGTAGCCTCTACAACAGCAACTTCAACATTGACCCTAATATTACAGTATCTCACTCAATAACTGATACATAACCTCTTGTACATATTTACATTTTAGCTTACATTCTCTCTTAAAGGTAGATTTCCAAAACTTTACTGCTTACTAGGCAAAACAATTTTATTTTATTTTTTTCCTCACTCTCTTGAGGTTTCTCTATGTTCTTGTATAATATTCTGGGACTTCTTAAGTCTTGTGCCTTTTGGTAGTATGACCATTCTAAGTGCTCACTGAATATGTGTTGGATTCAATTGACCAGAGCTGACTGCATTTCCTCACAGTCATTGTCTTGATGAACAGAAGAATCCTACTTTGTTGAGGAAGGAATTGTGTTCACAACACACTGCAAGTATCAACTTGTCTCCTTCCCTTAGTCCACCCCCGGAAATAGGCCGGTACCAATGAAGCCCAAAGACACAAAGCGACTCAGTAAAGGACAAGATCGACTGGCAGCAATAGCTGGCAAAGCCTAACGAGGATGCAGGGTTTCGACTCTCTCCCAACCTCACTGACCTGTCCAGCCCTGGCCGGCGCGGGGGGCTGGGTACTTCCACTCGTGCTCGTTTCCTCATTACGGCTCCTGCTGCTCTCCTCTCCACCGGCACCTTCAGAGACGAACCAGACTCCTTTTCCAGAGCTGCTCACAGTTCATCGAGGGCACAGTGAAGAGAACTCCCCATCTCTAAATTGCCCACAGCAACTTGTAACACCAGCTTCGCAAATGAGGCTAGACATTCTGTTAGAGACAGTCTGAGAAATTTAGCCAAGAGGAAAAAGATGGTCTGGTGTATACAGTGCTGATGGGACCTAGGCAGCCACCAAGGGGCAAAGTAAGAGGAAGAGACAAGAGCAGGACTTTTGGGACAAGACAAGGCAATTTTCATCTTGTATAGAAAAGGGAAACTTACCAATCCAAGAGGCCTGCCATTTATTGGTTTCCCTACAACAGGAAATTTGAAGGTTACAATGGATCAAGATGCTGTTTCACCTGGATTTCTAGCTACCATTTATTTCTTACAACGGGTCCTAGACAAAAAGCTCTATGTGTGCCCTTCCCCTTTCTGCCTGGTACCACTTTTGCTAGAAATACAGGGTCTTCAAACTCTCTTCCCCTATTTTTTAGATTTAAAGAACTCTTGTCATCTACATACTACATTTATATTATATTCTAATGATACGCCACTTAAAAGGAATGATCCTTAGTATAAAAGAAAAAAGGTAGTGCTCCAGATATCAGTGACAAATGAATTGGGGAGATACTTTGAGGCAAGGCCTTTGCAATCTTTTCCGAATCAAACTGGCAGGTACCCATTTGTCCCTCTACGAGTAAAAACAGCAATGGCCTTCAGAGATTAAAAACTGGGAGAGGCCTTTAAGATACCCTTAACGTAAAAAGTCACCAAATATTCTAAAATGGAAGTGTTTTTATATAAGAGATCTCTTTCACTGAGTGATTACTGTCAATCAGACTTTGTACTACTTTCCATCTACCAATATTAATATGTATTTAATCCTTTTAACAACTCAGGGAGATGGGTGCTATTATTCTTCTTCACCATTTCACAAAGGAGGCACAGAATGACTAAGTAATTCATCTAAGGTCACATGGCTATTAAGTGGCAAATCCACGAGGATTTGAACCAGGCCATCTGGCTTGGAGCACTTGCTCCTAACCTCTGCGCTGTGTGGCGCTGGGGCCCAGACCGGCTGACCATTTTGCCATACTGACCTTGCACTGCTAACCCATGGACATCCAGCCTTCCCTATTTCTCCTCCATCATGAAAACTTCCATCGTCCTACTTACCAGGTGACAGGTTTTCATGAAACCGTTTCATCTCCACATACAGAGTGAAAACAAATGGATAGGGGACCAAGACGATTTCCCCATGTTTGAATTTCAAGTGGGACACTCTCTCCCATTTGCTTTTATCTGAGAAATGGTGGTAAGGAGTAAAGAAAGCAGGCAGTCAGTAAGAATCCCTGAGTACTATCTTAGGGATAAGACCCTCTCCTTTCCCTGTCCTGCCTATGGGTTTGCTGCTTCCATTTGAATCTATAATGTGACCTGTACCTTATTTCTAGCCTGAAATGAAAGGATACAGGGAAATATAATGAAGTGTTCTGTAGCAAATGGCTGCAGGTTGTCCAAGTTTCCCAAGACCACACGAATAGAATCCTGGAAAAAAATCTGAAATGAGTTTACTACTGTCTAGTCCCAGCCAATCTTTCCATTTATACCTGTCACTGCTTTTCATAACCCCTTCATTCTATTAAAGCTAAACTATGTGCTGTCCCCTGAACATGCTTTCTGATTCTCCATTTCTGTGCTGTTCCCTCTGCCTGAAGTCTTTTCTACCCATCAGCTCATGTCCAAATCCTACCTGTCCTTTAAGGTGCAGTTCCAAAGCTATCTCCTCTAGAAAGTTTTCCCTGATTCCCCCAGTTGTAGTTAACTATTAGTCTCAAACTTCACAGTAGTTAGTCATGGGTCTTCACTACATTCCATCCACATGTTGTTGTTGTTTTTTTTTTTCCATCCACACGTTTTATTTCCATTACTGAGAAATCTCCTTGAGCTAGTACACCTGATTTATTTTAGCATCGCTTATATAGTGTCAGCCTTAATAAATGTACACTGAATGAATGAATAATACTGGTATTTATTGATATATAGTTATTTTACTTTAGCTGAAGTCCATCTAACCTTTTCTTTGACTCTTTTAGAATCTTGATTGAGGGGCACCTGGATGGCTCAGTCTGTTAAGCGTCTGACTCGGGTTTTGGCTCAAGTCATGATCTCAGCCCCATGTTGGGCTCTGTGCTGACAGCGTGGAGCCTGCTTGGGATTCTCTTTCTCTCTCTTTGCCCCTCTTCACCAACCCCCCCATAAATAAACATTACAAAAATAAAAAATAAAATGTCAATTGATTAGTCTCTAACCTATATTTATTAGTATACACCAATGAAACAATTTGGCATCATAAAAAGACTACTGGATTGGGGCACTTGGGTGGCTCAGCCACTTAAGCACCTGACTCTTGGTTTCAGCTCAGGTCATGACCTCACAGTTTGTGGGTTTGAGACCCTCGTCAGGACCTGCTTGGGATTCTCTCTCTCTCTCAAAATAAATAAACTTAAGGGGCACCTGAGTGGCTCAGTCGGTTGAGCATCTGACTTCGGCTCAGGTCATGATCTCACGGATCATGAGTTCGAGCCCCACGTCGGGCTCTGTGCTTACAGCTCAGAGCCTGGAGGCTGCTTCAGATTCTGTGTCTGCCTCTCTCTCTGCCTTTCCCCTGCTCATACTCTGTGTCTGTCTCTCTCAAAAATAAATAAACCTTTAAAAAAAAGTGCTGGATTTCTGTAGGAAAAAGATCTGAATTTCAGTCTTAGCTTTGTCATTCATCCAAGCTTGGTTTTCCTTGTATTTGGCCCATAGGAGGCAGAAACGGTGTCTTATTTATCCTTCTATTCCCTATACTATCATAGTATCTGGCTTATACTTTTAATAGCTAATATTTATTGAATAACCATATGACAAGTGTTATTGTTTTTATACATGTTAACACTCACAGAAACCTTATGAGATAGACACTTCTATTGTCTCCATTTTACAGATAAGGAAATTGAGGCAAAGAGAGGTGAAATAAGGTTATTCAGGGTTACACAGGTAGTAATGGGGGAGCCAAGATATGAACCTAGGCAGTGGGGTTCCAGGATTTACCCTCTTAACCATTCATTAAGCACACTGCCTATCAACAAATGTTTTCTGAATAAATAAAAGATGAGAACATTTGCCTGAAATCTGAGAGCAAGAACATATAAAAGCGCTTTGAGAACTTTGGTTCTAGGCGCACCAGGGTGGCTCAGTCAGTTAAGTGTCTGACTTCAGCTCAGGTCATGATCTCACAATTCGTGGGTTCAAGCCCCGCGTTGGGCTCTGTGCTGACAGCTAGCTCAGAGCCTGGAGCCTGCTTCAGATTCTATATCTCCTTCTCTCTCTGACCCTCTCCTGCTCGTGCTGTCTCCCTCTCAGAAATAAATAAAACATTAAAAAAATCTGAAAACTTTGTTTATAAATGTATATACACGTTCCCTAGCTACCACATACTGAGCTACTGTGTGGCAGGCACTGTACGCATCTATTTCTAACCCTCACCACAATCTTGAAAACAGGTATTGCTTATCAACCTCATAGACAGGTAAGGAAGCAGGCTCAGAGAAGGTAGGTAACTTGCCCAAAGTCTCACTGTGAAGGCAGAACTTAACTCAAATCCAGGTGTGACTGGCTCAGAGGTCTATGCTCGCTCCACTTTACTATGCTGCCTTGAGCTTTTCTCTGCCCGAGTTAACTGAAGCAAAGTGAAATGAACTCTGCTCTATTTACAATTAAAATAAGCAGAAAACTGTCATGGTTCTACATTAAAATAGTTGTTATTTATAACAATGTTTCTATCTCCTGCAAGATTCTAATGTACCTTCAACACTCATCCAAAGAGCTAGGAAACCTTTAAGGCTAGGACTCAAATTTTTGGTTTCATAGAGTTTTGTGTTTGTATATTTCATTGTATTCAAATTCTTTGAAATATGACAGCATACGTCTTTATAAATCTGAACAATCACCAATGATTGAGTTGTGAAGTCAGAAGGGAAATAAACTAGTTTAGAACTCTCATTTTACGAATGAGGCAATTAGGACCAAGAAAGAGAAATGATTTGCCGGGGGTCACACAGCTAGCCAGTGGCTCAGCCAGGGCTGGAATCCAAGGCCAGCGCCCAGAGCTCTGACTCCTTGCCTAACGTGTTCACCAATTTACAAAGCTGTCCACTTGCTCAGTGTTCCTCCTGCGGGAGAACCTAAGGCCGGGTAGAGAAGGAATGGAAATGAGGCGGGAATAAAGCAATTGCAAATGTTTCCAATTAAAATGAAGACATAGCAGTCTTGTATGTGTATTTACAATTGAGCTTCCTGAACGTCAAGTACCAGGCAGTGTTTGGGAGGGTGAGGCTTCCCAGAGCCCTGCAAGGCGGCAGTCCTCCAGAAGTTTTCTCCATGCCAGCCACCACAGAAGAGGGCTGCGGCCGGCTGGGAACTCTGGTGGAAACAATAGAACTCTCAGCCTCAAAGGTGCTGACACTTCAACTAGAAGAACTGAGAAAGAATACAGGCTTTAATTTCCTTGGAAAAACAGTTCTGTTTCTTTGCAGAGGACTATGGCAGGGAGAAGCCAAGTGATCGAGGGGAGGTTGTGACTCAGCTCACAGGAAATAATTAAAATCTGGATATGGACGCATCCTTGGCTTTAAGAATGACTTTCCCAGAAGTTGTCTGCTTTTTTCCCTACCTCCAGCTCCTTGAGGATGACTTCCTTATCTTCTATCTCTTCCCCTCTAGAAGGTAAACAAACAAGAGATAAGTAAGCTGAGAAGGAAAGTTCTGAAGACAGTAGACTCTACCGTCAGTAGAGAGTAGACAGTAGAGCAAAAATGACACTTCCACGGAGCTATAGAAACATGACCAAGTAACAATCGTGTGCGTTGACAGCTCACGGGAAGAAGTGATCACATGGGAAGAAGTGATCACCTAGGTGGTGTGGTCTGACAACTGGTAGAAGGCTGTACCAAAATATCTTCTCCATTAACCTGCCAGGACCTGAAATTCTCACTGTGAAAGTTAATAATTTGTTAGACTAGTTGTACTCAAGTGTAGTCTGTGGACCACCAGGCACCCTCAAGACTCTTTCAAGTGTTCTCGAAGGTATAACTATTTTTATACTAATAATAAGGTGTTATTTGCCTTTTTTCCCCTGTGTTAACATTTATACTCATCAGTGCAAAAGCAATAGAGGGCAACATTGCTGGTGCCTTTGCACAAGTCTAGCTAGTTACACTAAACTGTACTAGCAGTTGTGGTAATCTTGACTGCCACACAGGGAAAAAAAAAAAATCCAGCTTCACTTAATATATTCGAGGAGACAAGAAAAAAGTAATAATCTTATAAAATCTCAACCCTTAAATACATGTCTTTTTAATACATTATGTGATAAAATGGGAAGTACTCATAAAGTGCTTCTGCTGCATACCAAAATATGATGGGTGTCTTCAGGAAAAGCACTTGGGCAACTAACTGTTGAAATTGCAAACCGAACTAGCTGCTTTTCCTGAAATGGTATTTTACTTCAATGATCAGCTAACAGACAAACCATAGTTGTTATTCAGATTTAGGAACATGACATTTCCTCAAAAATGAACAGTGCATTTATCAATTCAAGCAAAGCAACTGACAGTATTCATTTGTGTCAATGATGAGGTTTGGGATTTCAAGCAAAAATCTGAACTTAGGAAAACTCAATCCACCCCAGTGAGGTTGACAACTTCCAAATACTTAAACACTTTTCTAAGGTTGATAGTGATATTAACAGATATGATTTTTTGATATTGTATAATGAAATGTGTTAACATTTGGATGATCTATATAAGTCAGTCAGCCAATATTTTCCAAATGATCAATGAAATACATTATGTTACAAATCATCCTAGGTAAAAGATTCATTCACAGAACAAGACAGACAGATTTTAATGTAGCAGAGTTTAAGAAGTTCACTGATAGAATTTCAGATTCCATATTGCAACTAACCTTTAAAAAACTACCATTTAAACAAAACAAAACAACTATCATTTGTTAAGTTTTAATGTAGGGTAAAAGACTATCCACAATAATCTGTGAAGGCTATTAATATATTTCTACATTTCCCAAATGCGTATCCTTGGGGGTAGTTTTTTTCATATAATTCAGCCAAAAAAAAATTCGCAACAGATTGAATGCAGAAGCAGATATAATCTATCAGCCTTCTATTAAGCCAGTCTAATGAGATTTGCAAAAATTTAAAACAATGCCAATCTTCTCATTAATTTTTTGTCTGGGAAAATTACCTATTTTTAATAAAAATGTGTTAACACGTAATAGATATATTATTTTAAATTAATACATTTTGAAATTGTGATTAAATATATATAACCTAAAATTTGCCATTTTAACCATTTTAAGTATATAATTCAGTGGTATTAATTATACTTACAACCATGGTGTACGACCATCACCACTACTTCCAAAGCTCATCTTCCCAAACAGAAACACTGTACTCATTAAGCAATAACTCCTCATTCTCCCCTCCACCCTGCCCTTGGTGACCCCTAATCTATTTTCTGTCTCTATGAATTTTCCTGTTTAATATTTCATAGAAGTGGAATCATATTTTTCCTTTTGTTCCTGGATTCACTTAGCATAATGTTTTCAAGGTTCATCCATGTTGGGCATGTACCAGAACTTCATTCCTTTTGCAATTTCTTTAATGGCTGAATAATATTCTATTATATAAACCACACATGTAAGTACATTTTGTTTATACATTCACCAATTTGATGGACACTTGGGCTGTTTCCATCTTCTGGCTATCATGAATAATATAGCTATGAACACTGTTGTACAAGCATCTGCTTGAGTCCCTGTTCTAAATTCTTTGGGGCATATACCTAGGAATGAAATTGCTGTTATGTGGTAATTCTACGTTTAACTTTTTGAGGAACTGCCAAACTGTTTTCCGAGGCAGGTGCACTATTTTCTATTCCCATCAGTACTATACAAGAGTTCCAATTTCCCCGCATCCTTGCCAACTGTTATTTTCTGGGTTTGTGTGTTTTTTTAATGCCCATCCCAGCAAGTGTGAAGGGGTATCTCATGATGGTTTGGGTTTGTATGTCCCGGGGACTAATGACACTGAGCATCTTCTTGTGTGCTAGTTGGCCATTTGTGTATTTCATTTGAAGTAATGTCTATTTAAATCCTTTGTCCATTTTTATTACTTTTTAAATGTTTTTTTTAAAAATGTTTTATTTATTTCTAGGAGAGAGAGAGAGACAGCGTGAGCAGGGAAGGGTCAGAGAGAGAGGGAGACACAGACTCTGAAACAGGCTCCAGGCTCTGAGCTGGCAGTCAGCACAGAGCCCGACGCGGGGCTCAAACCCACGAACCGCGAGATCATGACCCAAGCGAAAGTCGGACGCTCAACCGACTAAGCCACCCAGGCGCCCCTAAATGTTTTTTTTTTTTTTTTGAGTGAGAGAGAGAGAGAGAGAGAGCGTGTGTGCACAAGCAGGGTAGAAGCAGAGAGAGAGGAGACAGGAGGATTTGAAGCAGGCTCCACATTGTCAGTGCAAAGTCCCATGTGGGGCTGTTAAAGTCACCAACTTCAAGGTTAAGAATCTGAGCTGAAGTTGGTCACCTAACTGAGCCACCCAGGCGCCCCAGCCTTTGTCTATTCTTGAACCGGCTTATTTTGTTGTTTCTGAGTTGTACTTCTTTCTTTTCTTTTAATGTTTACTTATTTCATCTTTAGTGTTTATTTGTGAGAGAGCGAGCGAGCACAAGCAGTGAGGGGCAGAGAGAGAGAGGGAGAGACAGAGATCCCACACAGGTTCTGCGGTGTTAGCGCAGAACCAGATGCAGGGCTCAAACTCACAAACCATGAGATCATGACCTGAGCCGAAATTCAGAGTCCGACGCTTAACCAACTGAGCCACCCAGGTACCCTTCTTTCTTTCTATATTCTGGATAGTAAACTCTTACCAGATATATGATTTATAGATATTTTCTCCCATCTGTGGGTTGCCCTTTCACTCTGTTGATAGTGTCCTTTGATGCACAATTTTAAAAAATTTAATGAGTCTAAATTTATCTTATTTCTTTTGTTGCCTATCTTTTGGTATGGTATTTAAGAAACCACTCCCAAATTAAAAGTCATGACAATTTGCACCTATGTTTTCTCCTAAGAGTTTTATAGTTTTAGCTCTTAAGTTTAGGTCTTTAATCTATTTTCAGTTTTGTTTTGTATACAGTATAAGGTAAGGGTCTAACTTCATTCTTCTACATGTGGATATGCATTCTTTTCAGAACCATCTGTTAAAGAGACTATTCCTCCCCTATTGAATGGTCTTGGCATTCTAGTCAAAAACTAATTGGCCAAAGTTGTGAATGTGGAAATTCATTTCTGGGTTCTCAATTCTATTCTATGGTCTATATAGCTGTTCTTATGCCATTACCATACTTTTTGGTTACCTGTAGCTTGGTAGCAAGTTTTTAAATTGATAAGAACACTTGATCTTAGCCAAAAGGCCGAGAAGCAATTGTAGCAAGTTTTTAAATTAGGAAGTAGGAGTCTTCCAATTTTGTTTTTTGAGATTATTTTGGCTATTCAGAGTCCCTTGAAATTCCATGACTTTTTTGTTTAAAAAGAGAGTGGGAGGAGAGAGAAAATCCCAAGCAGGCTCCACTTCTCAGTGTAGAACCCAATGTGGGGATCAATCCCATGACCCTGGGACCATGACTTGAGCCAAAATCAAGAGTTGGATGCTCAGCCCACTGAACCACCCAGATGCTCCATTTCATATGAACTTTAAGATTGTCTTGTCCAGTTTTGCAAAATATGCCATCGGAATTTTGATAGGGATTTCACTGAATCTGAAGATTGCTTTGTCGTCTTAATAATATTAAGTCTTCGAATCTACAACCATAGATAGCTATTAATTTAAGTCTTCAATTTCTTTTAGCAACTTTTTGTAGTTTTTAGCAGGCAAGTCTTGCATCTCCTTGGTTAAATTTATTGCTAAATATTTTTCTTATAGATGCTATTGTAAATGGAATTGTTTTCTTAATTTTCTTCTCAGATTGTTTTTTGTTAGTGCATACATATACAACTGATTTTATGTGTTGATTTTATATCCTGCAACTTTGCTGAATTCATTGATCAGGTCTAATTTTTCTTTTCTTTTCTTCTTTTTTTTTTTTTTTGGTGTGTGGACGAAATCTTTAGGGTTTTCTACAGGTAAGACCGTGGTTTCACTTCTTCCCTTCCAATTTGTATGTATTTTATTTCTTTTCCTTGACTAAATGTTCTGACTAGAAATCAGTACTATGATGGATGAAAGTAGTGAAAGTGGGCATCCTTGCCTTGTTCTTGATCTTAAGAGGAAAGCTTTAAGTTTTTCATAATTGAGTATGTTATCTGTGGAAAGCTTTAAGTTTTTCATAATTGAGTATGTTATCTGTGGGATTTTCATATATGATCTTTATCATATTGAGGAAAAGATCCCCTCTATTCCTAGTTTATTGACTGTTTTTATCATGCAAGGGTGCTGGATTTGGTCAAATGCTTTTTCTTTCTCTATTGAGATAATCATGTGGCTTTTTTCCCCTTACATTCTATTAATGTGGTGTATTATACTAATTTCTATATATATATATATATATTTTAATGCTTACTTATTTTAAGAAAGAGAGACAGAGAGTGAACAGGGGAAGGGCAGAGGGAGAGGGAGAGAGAGAATCCCAAGTAGGCTCTGGTTGTCAGCACAAAGCCAGACATGGGGCTCAATGTAATGAACTGAGAGATCATGGCATAAGTCAAAATCAAGAGTTGGATGCCTAACTGACTGAGCCACCCAGGTGCCTCTGATGTCTGTATACTGAATCATGCTTGCATTCCTGTGGTCTTTATCCCAGGAATGTAAACAATGACAATCTCCTCATTAATTTTTTTTAAAAAATATGCTTCCCTTTTTTAAAATGTTTATTTATTTGGGGGGGGGGCAGGGACTGAGAGGGAGAGAGAGAATCCCAAGCAGGCTCCACACCATCAGCACAGAGCCAGACACAGGGCTTGATCCCGTGACTTTGAGATCATGACTTGAGCTGAAATCAAGATGCCCAACCAACTGAGCCACCCATGTGCCCCAAATATAATTACTTTTAATAAAACATATTATTTGTTAACATTTAATGGCATTTTTTTCCAGCAATTTTAAAAATTTTATTTAAATCCAAGTTAGTTAATGTATAGTATAATAATGGCTTCTGGAGTAGAATCTGGTGATTCATCACTTACATATAACACCCAGTGTTCATCCCAACAAACACCCTCCTTAATGCCCATCACCCACTTACCCCATCCCCCCAACCCAAACTGAGCAACCCTCAATTTGTTCTCTGTATTTAAGAGTCTCTTATGGTTTGCCTGCCTCTGTTTTTATCTTATTTTTCCTTCTCTTCCCCAATGTCCATTTATTTTGTTTCTTAAACTCCACATAAGTGAAATCATATGATATTTATCTTTCCGACTGACTTATTTCCCTTAGCATAGTGATATATTATTTTTGTTTTAAGTTTATTTATTTATTTTTTTTGAGAGAGAGAGAGAGAGGGAGAGAGAGAATAAGCAGGGAGAGGTAGTGAGAAAGCGGAACAGAGGATCTGAAGCAGGCTTTGTGCTGACAACAGAGAGCCTGATGTAGGGCTCAAACTCACGAACTGTAGGATCATGACTGAATTGAAGTTGGACACTTACTTGACCAAGCCACTCAGGCACCCCTAATGATATATTATTTTTAAATGAATAAGTATGTTATTTTAATTGTTTTTAATCTGTATATGATACATATTGACAGGTATGACCCACATGATCAGACTCTTCGGGATCCTTGATAGTCTTACAAGTGCAAAGAGATCTTGAGATAAAAAATTTTGAGAACTACTGCTCCAAAGGTATCCCACCACTAATTGAGAAACGTACCTGAGTAATAATATATGGACTCTAAAATACTTGGGAAACAGGGGCACTTGGGTGGCTCAGTCGGTTAAGCATCTGACTCTTGGTTTCAGCTCAGGTCATAATCTTACAGTTTCATGGGTTCAAGCCCCATGTTGGGCTCTGTGCTGGCAGTGCAGGGCTTGCCTGGGAATTCTCTCTCTCCTCCCTTTTCTCTCTGCTCCTCCCCTACTCTCGCTGTTCTGTCTCTCTCAAATAAATAAACTTATAAAATAAAATAAAATAAAATAAAATACGTGGGAAACAGAGCCTACATGGTGCTAATTCAGCCAGTCTCCTGGACAGGGTGAAGGTAGAGAAGGGATAACCTGTGGCAATGTACTAACCTGTATTTGCAAAGGCTACTCTTTTAGCTTCAAAATTACCTGATGATGTTGCCATATCTAATTTTGAATTTATAAACATTGGGTCCTGCGTGAAGAAATCTCGTCTCTGGAAACGGGTAGGTGAAGGGTTTTAAACTCATTGCTTCCAAATGATAGCCTAAATAAAATACAAATATTAGAGAATTATTAAAAAGCTAAAGATGGTTCCTTACGTTCTTTATGGTATGGGAAAGAGAGCTTGCCCAATCTGTAGCATCTCTTCATGAGTAAAATGTCTGACAGCACCACTGCCTATGTCCCAGTCTTGGCTTTTATATTAATCACCTATATTAATCACTTGGACCATTCTCCTATGTGTATGGGGAAGATACATGGTGTTTGGGGACAATCTCTATACTTGAAATCAGAAGACCTGAGTTCAAATCGTGTAGTTTACCTTACAGCCTTGGGCAAATCACTTCTCTTCATGAGATTAATGATAACCAACATCTCTGATGACTCATAAGGTTTTTGTTAGGATTAAATCTATCTCCCAAATATCACTTGAATCTATTCTCTTCCTTTGTTCACACTTTCCTTGGAATCTAGGCCAATATGAAGAGGACTCAAGTCAAATAATGAAAAAATCCAAACGTACCAATAGGTGGCACAATTCGGAAGACCTCCGCTGTTAAATTTTAGATGAAGTTAAGGGAGGAAGACAGTTTCCTGCCACAGCTAATGCAGCAAATAAGGACACACTACAGTTTCCCAGTGCTGCTGCCAAGGAATGGTTTGCCTTCCTTACCTCTCAACCACTCTTCCTTTTCACCACTTGTGAGACTGCCCTGTGCCACAAGAGTGCCTGCTATCCTCTTAGCACTTACTAGATTTACTTTTCCTATTCCAGAATTTCTGCCCACTTAAGGCCCTCTGAGGGAAAGTCAGGAAAGGGGAAAGATGGAAAAAGAAGAATGGCATGTCTCTTCTCCTCCAGGAGGGCATCTGGTACACACCAAAAAGTAAGAATGAAGCACAGTGATTAGTGATTTTTTAAGTCACTAGGACTTTTCTGTGCCTCTTTTTACTTGTAGAGATAATAAACCCTGCATTTTGTCTCTTCATATGGAAATGTAAGTAATAAATAACGAGATGAGAGGTCCTGAGTTCCTGAGGATAAAAGCTACCAACACACTACACAGAGTATTGACTTCAGAGGTAGCTAAGAATAGGCACAAAGAAAGAATAATTTAGGTTTGAATCTCAGCTCCAATATCCCTCCTTTGTTTCTCTGGGCCTTGATTTTCTTATTTTTACAATAATAACAACAAACAATAACTTTTTGTTATGCCTATTCTAAGTGCCTTACATATATTATCTCAGTTAATCCTTAAAACAAGCCTTTGATAGCCTAAATCTGATAGATAAGGAAACTGAGGCATTGAGAGATGAGGTAACCTCCCCAATAGCTATATAAATGTTGGAACTGGGTTTCAAAATTAAGTGATATGAAGCCAGACTTGATGCTCTTAACCACTTTTCCACTCTGCTTTCTGGGGTTTTTAGGACGAAAAAAATAAGATAATGAATATAAATCATTTTGTAAGTACTAATATATTATATACACATAAAGGACTATTTTCATTATTCTTTCCTCCATATTACCCCAGTACTATTTCTACTTAGCAGGGAAAACTCTTGTATGGTGGAGTCAGAAGATCTACATGCCCAAAGAATGGAATTTCCCACAATTTCCAAAGTTCATGTCTGGGGCTGCCAGTAAAGAGATATCCCAGTGTCTGATCTCGGCTGCTTGGGATTAGAATGACAGGGGGTTGGAGCCAGAGCCCATAAGACTATTTAGACTAGAACTGCAGTCAAAAGTGAAAAGAAATAGTTGGTGCCAACGGCAAAGTTACCAGAGGGGAAATATTGTTCATATCCTGAGGGGGGAAAAAAGTTTGCTGATTCCCATGCTGATTCCAAGGCACGGCAGGAATCCAGCTAGATTCGTGGTGTTTTTGGTGCTAAGATGACTTTTCTAAATAGGAAGGGAGCCCACCTGCCATAAAAGTTGCTGCCAAAAAAATTCAGCTTTCAGTTTTTCAGAAAGTTTTCCTAAAATGCAGTCGACTCTCACCAGAGGCGGAGGGCTGGGGGATCAGAGCAAAGGAAATGAAGGACATTTGCTGGAAATGACAATTCAGAGAGGAAACTTCATGTACTGCACCACACTGGCTGTCTGAAGGAGGTAACAACAGCCCTCTTCTGGCTGGGGCCTGCCTATTAATTGTTGGCTGCCTGCTTCAGAAACAACCACACACTAATTACTGCATTTGAAAATAAAGATTAGACAGCATAATCCAAAACAACCACATAATACTACTGGTTCAAAGATTTCAGAAGGTAATTTTCCAACATAAGTACTGTAGTCATGAGGACAATATGGGGTCTTTTTTTAAAATTTTTAATATTTTTTATTTATTTCTGAGAGACAGAGACAGAGACAGAGTAAGCAGGGGAGCGTCATAGAGAGAGGGAGATACAGAATCTGAAGCAGGCTCCAGGCTCTGAACTGGCAGTCAGCACAGAGCCTGATGCGGGGCTCGAATACATGAACCGTGAGATCATGACCTGAGCCAAAGTCGGACGGTAAACCGACTAAACCACCTATGGGGTTTTAATAGATGAAGAAGGGTCACTCTCAATCCATTTTTAGGTGATCAAAAAACACGATGCCGTTAAAACAAAGAAAAGTTTAGAGGCAATATGCGTTAGTTGGAAAGACAGAAGATTTGCAATTGTAGGATCAAGGCTTGAGCCCTACCTCTGCTTATTAGTCGTTAGAGCCTGAGCAAATCACTTGTACTTGCCATTTCTCAATTTCCACATCTACAAATGGGGATCCATGTACCCTTGGAATTATTGTGGGATTAAATGAGATTATGCTGAAAACAGCACTTCGTAAATTCTAGAGTATTACATAAACATTAGCTGTTTTGATAGGTTTGAAGAGTTTCTCTCTTAATGCTTCACTAGAAAAGCAAATTTAAGAGAGGAGAACTGACTATCTTTAATCTCAGTGCAAAATCTGACAAATCCCAATCAAGAACCTTTTCTTTGAAAATTCCCAATAATTATATTTAAACGACACGTATGCAATGATGTCAGATATTTTAAGGTTTTAGTAATTTGTTTCACATAAAGAAACATCTGGGTCAGTTCACAGAACCTAAAGCAGGGCTGAATGCTATATGAGGATCATGATACTGACTATTGAGGTGGAAGATGATAAGGAAGTGCTAAATACATGTCACTAAATGTATCTGGTGATATTTGATAGAAAAATCTTCCACAGTGTTAAAGAATAAAAGAGATTTCATAAGCACTTATTCAAAATACATTTAATGAGCAGATCTAATATGAGAGGCTCTGTGACCACTAAGGAGTGTGGATAACAAAACAGGGAACTCCCACTGATACTATGAATTTACTACCCAAGTTTTAGAACTGAGATCGAAGACAGATAACCAGCTCTTCTTTTCACCTTCACAAGTCCTTAGCTAGTCCCCAATGTCTGCCTGGCTTTACTGAAGTACGTTCAGACTCTCTCAAGTCTCTATTTCCAAATAGAGATTCATGGTTGCCTATAGTTGGAAGTGCCGTTTGTTTTAGATGGTACAAGAAGCAAGTAATTTCACCAAAGAAGGAAATAACTTCCATGAGGTGTCATATACCTCAAATTGGAGGCAGGATTAGCATTCCCCAAGACTACTGATTCCTTTGGCCCGTACATTTTCCATTACATCACAGTACCCTGTCAGTCACTTTATTAAACTGTAACCCTGGTCACTCTCATAAGCATAGATGACTCCAGACAAACTCAAGCTGGGATATAAAGGCATCAAACCAAAATATAGGCTTTTCTGACTAAATGTTCTTAGAATTATTTCTTGGGGTGTTAAAGGGTTACATTCACATTTTTTTGTCTTCAAGCTCCATTGTCAAAAGGAACTATTGTCAGTTTCTTTACCTTGCAAGGTAGCTAGGATGGCTGATGAAACAATGCAGGTATAATTGCATATTGTAGTGCTCTACACATAGATTTTCCAATAAAGAATAACCTTTCTAAAAGAAAACAAAGTGTTAAGATCTTGGCGGGACAGGAAGAGACTGATCTAAGACTACCCAGGATACTTCCATGTTTACTGATATCATTCTTTCTCATTAGGTTTCTTCCTACTCTTTCTGGTAAAACACAATCTTTAAAACGCTCTTGGCGTTTGCTCAGGAATAGATTTGCCCTTGGAACTGTGTCAGATTTTGTTTTGTTTTGTTTGAGAGGTGAGGACTAACTAAAGTTTCTAACAGAGAGGCAGGAAAATGCCCTAAAGTGAAATTAAAAGGCCTAGCAGACAACTCAATAGACCAGAAAGGAGTCTAAGTTAATCTCTCAAGTTACCTTTGCACCTAAGTACCTCTTCCGCTTATATCCCAACCATCCTAAAAGCTGTTGGAAAAACTACTTTAGTCAATAGGTCCTGAACTGTGGTCCTTATTCTAGAAAACCAATAGAATGATAACTCATCTCACCACCCTGTCCAGTAGTTCTGGCTTGTTATATGATGATCGACCTATTAGCATTCACATCACACTGAATTCACTGCAGCACTCTAAATGTCCTACCAACCCCAGGAACCCAAAAAGCATTTGGATGTAAAACTGAAGGCAGTGAGAGACATTTTAGTTTTTGGTTACATCATTGGGTGAGCGGCTCTGAAACAGTACATGTAGGGAAGAAAATTTAAAAGTGGGGGAGTGGAGGAGGGGAAGCATCAGTAGTTTCAGAAGGGCAAATGGCTTAGAGAATATGCTTAGGTAGAGAGAAAAGAACATCTTTTACAACTTTGTTGTAAAAGCTAAAACTGTTGTAAGACCTAAACACTCTGAGTCCTTGATGTACATATCTCGAGGGTCTTAGTGACAGAAGACTGAAATAGCAAAGTGTGAAAAGAAAGCTTGAGGGGTACCTGGATGGCTCAGTTGGTTAAGTGTCCCAAGTGTTGATCTCAGCTCAGCTCAGGTCTTGGTCTCAGGGTCGTGAGTTCAAGCCTTGCACTGGGCACTGTGCTGGGTATAAAGCTTACTTTAAAAAAGGGAAGGAAGGAAGGAAGGAAGGAAGGAAGGAAGGAAGGAAGGAAGGAAGGAAGGAAAGAAAGGGAGAGAGAGGAAGGAAGGAAGGAAGGAAGGAAGGAAGGAAGGGAGGAAGGAAGGAAGGAAAGAAAAAGTTTCTAAAATATACAGCTCTGTTCTTTCCATGAACTGTTCTTTCCATGAACCAATGGTAGATTCTGAAGAAAGTTAAGTTAATAAGAAAACTAAATTGCTTTTTATATAAAGAGAGAAAATCTCATATAGGAAATTAGAAATATTTTACTAACTTTAATCCAGTTCTGGTGAGACAGTGGGGGAGATAAGAACTATATTTACAAAAAGATATACCTGACTTGAAGAGATCACCTAATTTGGCCATCATGGGCAAGACTAAATCTCAGATGTATTTCTACAGCAAGATAGTCCAACTGATTATGAACTGGTCTAGACTCAATATTAGCCTCAATTCTTTATATTTTACAGTTTAAGCCTAGCTCTAAAACAACAAAATCATTTATTATTGCTAAGAAACATAAAGCTTTGTACTTTGAAAAACCATCAAATCATAGGGTTCTAATGGTGAACAGGCCTTAGAAAACACACAAATCTCATGTTTATAAAGCACTTTCAGTGTATATAAAGCTTTCTTATGCCTATCTCACAAGATTCAAAAACTTCTACTGAAGTAGGAAAGGTAGATTCAGCTAATCCCTCCTCCATGCTAACTGCTCTCCTAACTTTCACCTAATTTAAGCCTCTCAATCTCATGTTCACTCAACATTCATTCATTCAGCTCACAAATATTCGCATGCCTACAATGTTCCAAAAATGAAGCGCTGCAGATAAAGTGAAGAAGATTAAGAACTTGGTCCTCACCTGCAAAGAGCTTACAAACCATTTTAACTGTGATGACTGCTACAAAAAAGAATAGGATGACATAGAAGCATGATACAGAGAATCCTAACCCTGGAAAGGAAATCATGGAAGCCCACTCTAAGTAAAAGACTCATACCTGAGGGATGAGTATGAGTTGGGGAGGCACAAAAAGAGAGCAGGTCTGAGGTCGGTACAGGAAACGGAAGATGTAAGAGTCTTCAACTGGGAGAGAGCATGGATGTTTGAGATAACACTATACTATAAGGGCTTGTATTTATATTTCCGGTGTGGAGAGCAACAAACATGTAAGGACAGAAATGTAATTTGAAGTACTCTCGGTACTCTAAAGAAAATAAAAGAGTTTTATAGTAAAGAGTGACTGGGAGGCTGCTTAACTACTGTGGCCAGGGAAGACGCTTCCGACAAGAGCACACCTGAGCTGAGGCCTTAATGGAAAGCTGAACAACCATGCAAAGTCAAGAGGAAAAGCATTCCAAGCAGAAAACACTCAGCAAGCACAGATGCCCTGTGATGGGTGGTTTAACGGACAGAAAGGTCATTGTGACTGGAGCACAGAAAATGAAAACAGAACAGAGGAGGATGAAGTCAGACAGGAAGAAACCAGATCATGTAAGGCCCATAGGCCATTGTAAAGCGTCCAAATTTTATGCTAAGGGTTTTTATAAAGAATGAAATGATTTGATTGATGTTTTAGAAAGATGAGCTATACAAGGGTACAAGTAGAAGCAGGGAAGCAGTTAGGAAACTTTTGTGGTAGTCCAGGGGAAAGATCATGTTGATTTTGACTGGGGAGTCTTCATGAATAGCTGAATCTGGGGTTTATTTTAGACCGCTGGGCTAGATGTGGGAGTCAAGGACCATTCTCATGTTTTCAGCTTTTGCTATTAGGTGGGAGGATGGAACATCCCTGTTCTGAGATGTGGAAGGATTCTAGGGAAAGAGATTTGTGGAGACAACTCAACAGTTCTGTTTTGGTTAGGTCTAAGAGGCCTATTTGGCATTCCAGTGGATGCTGAGAGGGTGTTCTAGTGTTCAAGGGATGGAAATCAGGATGGAAATGTAAATTTAAGTAACCAGTGTTTAGGTGGTATGTGAAGCTATTGAACAGGCGAGATCATCGAGGGAGAAAGTATAGGTAAAGAAGGGATGAGGGCCTTACTTATAGTCCAGGTTATGAATTGTGGAGTCTATCCTAAAAGCAATAGGAAGGCGCTAAAGGGTATAATAAAGAAATGACCACACAGCTGTGAGTTAAAGGACACATATTTATAGATCTGGTTGTACTGTGGAAAATAATCCAGAACACGAACAGATAAAAAAGGACCAGGACCATAGGAGATGCCTGTAGTGCTAGGCAGAAGCTGATTAAGTGGCCTGGTCTACAGTGACAAAAGTGGAGATGAAGAGGAAAGGACTGGCTTGAAAGATGCCTGCGGAGATGTATAGTAGTGATTTGGTGAACCGATGAGGGAGGGAGAGAGAATAAAGATGATTCCTAATTGCTTCAGCAGCTAATGGAAGGGGAAAAAAACCCACTTCCTGGAAAAAGTCACCTTAGAAAGTAAGTTTTAAAAAAGATTTTGGGGGGCTCCTGGGGGGCTCAGTCGGTTGGGCGTCCGACTTCGGCTCAGGTCCTGATCTCGCAGTTCGTGGGTTCGTGCCCCGCGTCTGGCTCTGTGCTGACAGCTCAGAGCCTGGAGCCTGCTTCGGATTCTGTGTGTCCCTCTCTCTCTCTCTCTCTCTCTGACCCTCCCCTGCTCACGCTGTGTCTGTCTCTCATAAATAAATAAAACATTAAAAAAATTTTTTTTAAGTTTATTTATTTTTAGAGGGCGCACGCGTGCAAGCGAGCAGGGGAGGGGTAGAGACGGAGACAGAGATTCTCAAGCAGTCTCCACACTGTCAGAGCAGAGTGGGAGTTGAGTGAACTCCCCAACCCGGAGACCATGACCTGAGCTGAAATCAAGAATCCCAGGCTCAACTACTGAGCCACCCAGGCGTCCCTAGAGAGTCCATTTTTGAAGGGGAAGAGGTGACGTCCTCATCGGGACGCGCTCAATTCTAAGGTGCCCACGAGCCAGCCAAAGAGCGATCTGGGGGAGACTGTTGGGATCCCGCGGTAGGTTCACTACCTGCAGAGGCGCAAGAGGGAGGAACTGAAGCTGAGAAAAGTCCAGGATGCGCAGCAAGGCAGGCTGAATGTCTCCGCCTGTGCAGATGCCAAGACTTAAACTGCGGAGGGGCCGAACCGGTAGGTCTAGAGCCCTGAGTGCCGGGGAGCCAGTACGTCCCTCCCAGGTTGAGTCAGGCGACCGAAAGCAGAAACCCCCGGAGATCACTAAGGCATGGCAGGCCGAGAAATCGCTCCGTGGAATAAGTTTTGGTTTTGCGGCAGCCGCTGGGCCTGGGGTCACTGGGAGGCTGCACAGCAGAGGGCACACTTTCGCTACCGGAAAAGGGGTTTTTAAAAAAGGGGGTGCGGCGAGGGGGACGCAGGGCCCTCGGGAGGCTGACCTCGCCGGGGGCGGCCCCCGGGGGCGGAAAGAGCGGCCAGCCCGCCGCGTTCTCGGCCTCGATGCCACCGCTCGCCCGGGGCAGGGGGACGGCCCGGGTGGCCGCCGCGCCCCTGCCCGCCCTCCCCCGGCCTCGTGGCACCCCCGCGGCCTGCAAGCGGCCGCGGCCAGGCCCTTTCACGCCGCTGCGGGGCGGCAGCGCCGGGGCTGTAACTCTCCCTCGTTAAATAAAGGCCACGGCGCGCCAACCTCAGGGGAGCACCAGGCAACTGTGGGCCGTTACCTCAAACTCAAGGCTTTCCCAGGCCAGGCTGGGCCCTTACCCAGGCCACTGGGGTCTTCGCGCCTCGTAAAAACGGTCTCGGCCTCACTTCGCCCGGATGAACGCCCCCAAAAGGTGCGAGCTTCGACTGCGCACGAAGCGTGCCTCGCTCGTGCTTTGGCTCTGGCCGCGCGCCCGCCAGCCCTTCTGCGCACGCGCAGCCGCGCTCCCGGCCCCACCCCCACCGGGGTCGAGTGCTCTGCGCATGCGCATATGTGCTCCCCAGACTGTGGCTGTGGGCTCGCGCTACGCTGCGACACCACCCCCCATCCCCCGCCCGCGCATGGGTTGCCCGAAGCTGGGGCAGGGTGTGGCTCGCGGCCCCATTCCTCCCTGCGCCGTTTTGTCACTATTCATCCTGTGCACCTTTTGTTCAGTTAGCGCATACTCCGTGCCTGCTATGGAAGCTGTCTACTGCTGAGCCCCTGGTAACGTGTCGAGCATCGTGAAGGCACTTTTCACACTCACTCTTCTTTAATAAATCCTGACCGCAGTGTTGTAAAGTAGGGGTTTTTTTTTAAATAATTTTATTTTTTAATGTTTGTTTCTTTTGAGAGAGGGAAAGAGTGCACAAGCAGGGTAGCGGCAGAGAGAGAGGGAGAGAGAATCCCAAGCAGGCTCCGCACTGTCAGCGCAGAGTCTGACCTGGAGCTTGAAATCACAAACCATGAGATCATGACCTGAGCCGATCAAGAGTCTGCGCTTAACAGACTGGGCTACTCAAGCGCCCCTGTAAAATAGTTACTCACATCCTAATTTTAAAGAGGCCTGGGAATGGGAGGGACTTATGGAGGTGCGAGGTCACGAAAAGGGGTCTCTGGTTTCAAAGCCCAGCACCTTCCCTTCCACTCCCTGCTGATCAAATTCTGACCGTGTTGTGAATTATTAAGTGATTTGGCCCTACCTCTTCTGGAGGGGGGGTTGGGGCTGGGTGTGCTGCGTTCCTGAAAATGGACCTGCCCAGATACCTTGCGATCACAACTGTTATGCCTATAGTCCTTCTGCGTTCTCCTGCCTTCCTCTTCACTGTTTATGGTGCTCCCTCTGCTTGGAATGCCTCTCCCACCCCGCCTGAAAACTTTACTCCACATGACCAAATAGTAAGCTCTTTGAAGACTGAGTCTTGTACATCTTTTTATACACAGGGCAACTAAGCACCTGCTATCAGGTAGTACACACAAGGACCTGGGAAAGCAAGGCAGGAAAAAAATGGATGGAGGGGGAAGAAAATAGATCTCAGCAGGGCACCTGTCCCATCTAAAGAAGGCACCTGCTGTCCAGTGTTCCACTATAGGAAGGTGGGAGGCCTATGGGAAGTGTGGCCTGATAATGCCAGATCTGATTTTCCTAAGAAATCTCCCAGTTTAAAAATGTCAGCAACTAGGGGCACCTGGGTTGCTTAGTCCATTAAGTGTCCAACTTCAGCTCAGTTCATGATCTCACAGCTGGTGAGTTCGAGCCCCCGTTGGACTCTGTACTGACAGCAGAGCCTGGAGCCTGCTTCAGATTCTGTGTCTCCCTCTCTCTCTGCCCCTTCCCTGCGCTTGCTCTCTCTCTCTCTCTCTCTCTCTCACACGCCTTCTCTCAAAAATAAATAAGCATTAACAAAATTTTTAAAAATGTTGGCAACTAATTGAAAAGCTTGAATACACTGTGGGCTGAAACTAACACATTTGTGTGCACAGCTCTTGAGGCACCCACTTATGACTCAAGTGGACACAAATGGCCTTCAGTTTCAGCCAACCAGAAGGGAAATAAGCAGAAACCCAGGAGATTCTAACCAAAAGGCTCAATAACAGCTCCAAATGACCAAAGATCCCACTCCCTGGCATCTACAATTACAGGGCGTCAGGTGAAATAAAGGGAACACACAAACACTTTGAGTAAGATTGAACCCAAATGTCTCCTGGCAGACACAAACGTACACACACTGCTGTCAAGGCATGGGGGCAGCACCTGGTAAGACTGAGGTGCCTTCTCAGCCCATGTGGTCTGCTGTTTTTTTCCTTCGTGTCTGAGGAGGGTGCCAGTCCCCGTGTTGGGCACTATCTTATGTGACGAGGCCAGGGTGGCTTTCCACGGGGGCTCTGGCTGAGGGTCCATAATGGGATACAGCTAGAGGGAGGAATTCTTACCTGAGATAACAGGTGACCCTTGGGCCAAAAAAGGGGCAGAGCCAACTCCTGAGCAGGAGAGTTAAGTGTCAAAATTCCAGGAGGGAACTTAGAGCAAGTGATATAATTGGAGAAGGGAGGCTAAGGTGACTATTTCAATTAAGAGAGTGGATTCAGGAATTTGGAGCCAGTAAGATAAAGGGATAACAAATATTTACTCAATCAACATTTATTTGAATAACTATAAGCACTGTTCTAGCCCTTTGGGGATACTTCCGGGGAATAAGACAAAATTAGCTGTCACAGTGGAGATGGCCCGGAAATCAAAATCAAACTAGATGGGAGCATTGTAACTTGCTTTCATGAGCCACTCCTCCCCCCCAGGAGGGCTGTATGGCTGACTGACCTTGTTTCGGGAGTTAAAGGTGGTACAGACACTGTCCACGTCAGACAAGAAGGTGGGACGGGTACCACCTGTGGGCCTGAGAACTGCCTTGTCTCTTGGGATTCGTTTTTACTTTAAACTTTAAATAATTGACTTCTCTTTAAATAATTTAAAGAAAATTATGGGGGCATCTGGGTAACTTGGTTAGTTGAGTGTCCAACTCTTGGTTTCGGCTCAGGTCATGGTCTCAAAGTCATTAGATCAAGTCCTGAGTCAGGCTCTGTGCTGAGCAAGGAGCCTGCTTGGGATTCTCTCTCCACCTCTCTCTCTGCCCTTCCCCCACCAAGATAAATAAATAAAAATTAAAAATAAATAAATAAAAAGTAAAAAAAATTACTTATAGTTCAATTCACTGTTTTTGGTGTATGACTCTATGATTTTCTTCAAATTTTTATTTATTTTTGAGAGAGAGAGAGAGACAGAGCACAAGCAGGGGAGAGGCAGAGAGAGAGAGGGAGACACAGAATCCAAAGCAGCTCCGGGCTCTGAGCTGTCAGCACAGAGCCCGACGCGGGGCTCAAACCCACAAACCATGAGGTCATGACCTGAGCCGAAGTCAGATGCTCAACCGACTGAGCCACCCAGGTGCCCCCATAAGTCTATGATTTTTAACATATGCATAGATTCCAAGAGAGATCAGAATCGAGAACAGTTCTGTCACTCCAAAAAATACCATCAGGTTGCCCCTTTATCATCAAACGCTCCTCCAACCCCGACTACTGGCAGTCTGTTCTCTGTTTTCCAGTGTGTCATGTAATGGATTCATGCACTATGTAACCTTCTGGAATTGGGTTCTTTCTCTGAGTGATACCCTCAGATTTATCCATGTTGTTGTATATACCCATAATTCATTCCTTTTTTATTGCTGAGAAGTATTCTATTGTGCGGCTATTCCACCATTTCTTTATTATTTGCCTGTTGATGGACAATATTGGTTTGTTGTTAGTTTTTGACAATTTTGAATAGAGCTTCTATAAGGATTGACACACCAGTTGTTGTATGAACTTAAGTCTTCATATTTCTGGAGTAAATACCTAGAACGGGAATGGCACCCAGGTGGCTCAGTCAGTTGATCATCTGACTTCGGGTCCGGTTTGAGTTTGAGCCCCACACTGGGCTCTGCGCCAACGGCTCAGAGCTTGGAGCCTGCTTTCGATTCTGTGTCCCCTCTCTCTCTGCTCCTCCCAACTCATGCTCTGTCTCTCCCTGTCTCTCAAAAATAAATAAAAAATTAAAAAAAAAAAACCTAGAATGGGGATTGCTGGGTTCTATGACAAGTATATGTTTAACTTTCTAAGAAACCACCAAACTGCGTCCCAGAGTGGCTGTATGGGTTTGCATTCCTACCAGCAGATTATGAGAGTTTTAGTTGCTATGCATCCTTGACAACACTTGGTACTTTCTTTTTTTTTTTAGTTTATTTATTTTGAAAAAAATTTAAATGTTTTATTTATATTTGAGAGCTAGAGAGAGAGACAGCGTGAGCAGGGGAGGGTTAGAGAAAGAGGGAGACACAGAATTCGAAGACAGGCCCCGGGCTCTGAGCTGTCAGCACAGAGCCTGACGCAGGGCTCAAACTCATGAACTGTGAGATCATGACGTGAGCCAAAGTCGTATGCTCAACCAACTGAGCCACCCAGGCACCCCTATTTGTTTATTTTGAGAGAGAGAGAGAGAGAGAGAGAGAAAGAGAGAGAGAATCCCAAGCAGGCTCCGTACCGTCAGTGCAGAGCCCAATCCCACAAACAGTGAGATCATGACCTGAGCCGAAACCAAGAGTCAGACACTCAATCAACTGAGCCAGCTAGGCACCTGATATTTTCAGTTAAAAGAAGTTGTGGTTTTTTGTTGTTGTTTGTTTTTTTGTTTTTTGTTTTTTTGCCATTCTACTAGATATTAATGGTATCTAGTTGTAGATCCAATTGGCATTTCCCTAATGACTAATGATGTTGAGCATCTTTTCATGTGCTCTTGGGAATCCTGAGAATTAATAAACCTGCACCCCAACTCAGAAACCAAGCTACAGTGCTAAATAGACTTATACGGATTCACATTTGGCCTAACATGCTGGAACATTTTAGCAGCAATGCTCAGCAGATGACAATTGGATTCAAAGCACATATGCCAGATCTGTCAAGCCAGCAAGCAGGCAGCAAGACGCTCCTGGCTGCTAAGCACTGTCTCCTCTGTTCCAGATTTTATGTAGAGGAAAACATTTTGTGCCATTGCCTTCAGGACGCGCTCCTTGTCAGACTCTACGTCATTCCTTGCCATGGCTTCCCCCCACCCTCCGGGGCCTCCTACTTAACATTCTCCCTTCCTTCGTTCCTTTGCTAAAGAACTATGTATTGAAAGCCCGCTTTGTGCCAGGTACTGAGCTAGGCTCTAGGGTCACAAAGTTGAAGATGATGCCTACTTACGGTAGGTTCACATTCTAACAGGGGAATTGACATAAAGCCGATTTTTAAATACAGTGCGGTGAGGGCACTGATGCACCAGTGTTCCAGGCCTTTGGGGACCTAGAAGAGAGGGGTTCCTGAAGAAGAAAATG